TTTTGCTTGTTTTTTTTGAAGTCAGTAGTAACATTAGGAGCTGCTGCCGGAGGATTACTAGGAGGCTATCTTGTGGATAAAGTTGGAAGAAAGCTGAGTCTAATGCTGTGCTCAATACCATATGTTTTTGGGTATATAGTTATTGTATCTGCTCAGAAAGTTTGGATGCTTTATTTTGGACGACTGCTGACAGGCTTAGCCAGTGGAGTTACTTCACTTGTTGTTCCAGTAAGTAAGATGTTTTTCTGGGGATGTGTGCACATGTGGTTGCTTTTTTGTTTGTTTGTGGGGTTTTTTGTTTCTTTTTCCGTAGCAGTATTTTAGGTGGCTTGGGTGAAGTAACTGAATAACTGTAGTCAAGGCAGTTTGTGAATTTAGAAGAAACTGATTTTTATAGAATCCTGTTTTGCTTGGGTTTAATAATGAAGAAAATATAAATAGAACAAATTTTGTTTCTTCTAGTGGCACTTCTGTACTGCGGCACATTCCTGATACAGTGATGTGATCTTTCAGCTTATTAGTCTTTTATTTAATTGCTTCTGTTTATGTTCTGCTATTGTCTAGTAATATTTATTTATTCAAATTCCTGATATATAATGCTAGGGGAAGTAGGTTCCCTCACGCCCCCATTACCAACTTCTTCTAAGTCTTGTATTTCACCAGTCTTCTTGGTTTTGCAAATAAACTATGGCTGCTCACTCATCCTACAGTAATACCAAATAGTGCCTTCTGATTCCATTTAACTGTTATCTTCTGAATGTTAACTTTTCCCATGCATTCAGGAATATACATGGGATATGGAAATGGAGATAATTAATTCTGCTGTCGTTTGTCTTCTCTGGTATTATTTGACCCTTTGGATCTAGCTGAATAGGTAGTAGTGTGAAATAAACCATCTAGAATTCAAGTTTGTTTCTTTTCTGGTGGTTCCAGCATTTCTAGCTTTTGAAGGGAGATGCAAACTAAAAATTAAAGGATAAGAAGTACTTGTAATGAAGTATGGAATAAATGCTTGTTCTTTATCAATTTAGATGGTTATAAAATCTAAAAAAGATTCAGCGTGGTAAGGTCTAAATGATAATCTTGTGCAACTTTCTCTGTTGTTGGAAGCTTGTTTGCTTAGTCTGTTGTGTTATTGTCTTTGGAGGAATTCTGTCTGCTTTACAAACGAATACTTTCTCTTTGTTTCACAGTGCTGAGCTCTAAGTTCCCATATGTAAAGGCCTTAACCCACAGCCAACAGTAAAAGATCTAAGTGACTGCAGTGATGAGGGAGGAGCGTGTCATATGTAACATCGAGTTTTTGTAGCTCTAAATTATTTTTAAAATAAGGATTGCTTATTTTCATTGCAGAAGAAGTAAGAACTGTCACTTTATACAGAATTGTGTGTATATATATGAGGGATTTCTTTTTTATGTATCCAGCTAAACTGCAGCTGTTGACTTGAGGTCAATACATTAAAAAATAGCTGAAAGGTTTAAGTTGATCCCAAATATTGGATGAGGTGTGATGCCGTTCACATAGTCTGTGTTAAGATGACCTGTCAGTTTTGAACTTCATGGAGAATGAAATGATTTGCACTCTTTGCAGTGAATTAAAAATTTCAAACCTTCATGGCAAACAGTTTTATTTGTGTCTTGGGCTACGCATTTGTGCAAAGAATGTTCCAAGCTCTAGACTGCTTTGCTATGATGCGTTTCTTGTTGAATATGGGTAACAAAAGCAGCTCTTACTTTTTTTTACCTTTTGGATAATGATATGGCATCAACATTCTTCTGGCTTAGGTCCTCCCTTTTTTCCAGGATTTTTCATAATGCCAATATACATTTCTGAGATTATACTTTGCTACTCACTCCGTTTTATTGAGGCTTTTTTTTTATGAGGGGAGTTACTAGGGAATACATCTGTGTTTTTTCAGAAATAAATTATTTATCAATCCTTGATCCAAAATTGGACAGAAGTAATTATTAGATGTTTTCTCCCTGTTTTAGGTGTATATATCTGAAGTATCTTATCCTAAAGTCCGTGGTATGCTTGGCTCTTGTGTTCAGTTGATGGTGGTGATTGGCATACTGGGAGCCTATGTTGCAGGTATTTGGGTTAGGGCTCTACGTTGTAAAAAAGAATTAGTACATGTAATGAAAGAACTACACTGAAGAATTACATGTTAATTAATGTGAAGTAAATGTCAATTTGTTTGTACAACTAATTGATGTTCATAGTCCTCTTTCCTTTTTGTTATCCAGGAATAACACTAAGATGGCGCTGGCTGGCAGTGCTGTGTTCTTTTCCACCCTGCATAATGCTATGCTTCATGTCCTTCATGCCTGAAACACCGAGATTTCTGCTGAGTCGGAAGAAACACGCGGAAGCCATAGCTGCTTTGCGCTTTCTGCGAGGACCACATGTGGACCATGAATGGGAATGTAGGCAGATTGAAGCTAGTGTTCAGGAAGAGGTGATGATAATCTGATCTACTCTTAAAAAACTTTTTGTATGGAGATAACATCTGAAATCATATAGTGTAATTAAAAGGGTTTTACCAAAGCTTAGTTAATAGCCTTTTCTACAAATGATGGTCCAAACTTGTTCCCTTATACAAGTGATACTCAAGAAGCAAGTGAGATTTCTTTTGAATCTTTTTCCTCTGCCTTTCAGCTGCAACTGCTATCACCATTGGCTGCCAGCAGTGTACATGAGTAGCAGTCAGGCTTGTGATCTTGTTAGTTTTGTGACATCTATCTAGTTTTTTGCTTTGTTTAGCAATTTTGTAGGATTGTGCAACACCTCTAACACTAATTTCCTATTGTTTGTGTTGTATGAATGCATTTTCTCTTGCATCATTTAGCTTCTTGTGAGTTGTGTGCTTAAATAGGCAGGCGTAATCATTGAAGTTTGGTTTCTGCAAATTGTGGATTCATTCATGTTAACTTTTTCTACAAAGTACTGTCAATTTCTGTCTCTAGAACCTGAGAAAAGGGGAAAAATGCTTTTCTGGAGTTCTCAGATACTTTAAATGTAAACGTTTTTACTGCTAAGGCACTTAGCTTTGCTGAAGGGCGGGTGGTACTGAGTTTGAACAGATTGAAACGTTCTGAGAAGGTTTTTTGTTGTTGGTTTTGTTCTTTGATTAAGAAGATGAAATTTTTCACCAAATCATTGCTTAATCTTTTTAACAGGGACTGAGTTTATCTGAATTTAAGAACCCCTCAATCTACAGGCCACTTCTTATTGGTGTAGCTCTAATGTTCTTCCAGCAAGTAACAGGCATTAATGCAGTTATGTTTTATGCAGAAACTATCTTTGAAGATGCAAACTTCAAGGTAATTGGGATGTGTTTCCAAACTGACAAATGTAACAGTTTCAGCTTTGTCAGTACTACAAGAAATCTAAAACACGTAATAAACTGACTTGGTAATGATCCTGCCTGTCATAAATAAGAGAGTTTGGATTTTAGTGGGCTTTTTTGGCTTGGATTCTAGATACACTCTTGACTGTGTTACTCTGGCATACCTGAATGTTCTGTTTTTTTGGGTGGGAAGTATGTGTTTTGCTGGTCTGAAACGTTGATACTGATAGAAATTCTATTATTGTCATCTTCCTATATAATTTTTTTAATTAGAGTTGCAAATGTCCTGTTTCAGAGACAGTGAAACTCTAGGGAGAAGTTATGGCTTATTTTAGAGTTTATTAAGAGACTAGTGTGTTGTGTTAATTGGTGATATCTTCTGCCCTCCCAAACCCCCATTTTCTCCTCCCACCTTTAATTTATGTGCCATAGTTTGTCTTCTTTCAGATTCAAGAAATACGAATTTGTAATGCTTGATAAGCGATCCTCTTATCAGCCTGAAAGAGCAAATTCTCCGTACCTCATACTTTATTTCAGGACAGCAGAATGGCTTCTGTTGTTGTGGGTTCCATACAAGTATGTTTCACTGCTGTGGCTGCACTTACCATAGATAAAACTGGACGAAAAGTGCTGCTTTTCATATCTGGTAAAACATGCTGAATTTTGTTCATTAAGAAAAATTACTATATATAGTACCAAAAAGTGTCATAACTGTTGGGGGAATTAAGTATTGCAATTTATGCATTTTTAAGTGGTTTGGTGTATATTTATTATTTGGTATAGCTATAGACTTAAACTCACACCCATAAGAGGAAACTATCATGTTATATTTACATTGTTGGTGGAACCCCTTGAAACTACATATGGCTATCTTTCTGCCTTCTTACCTAGCCAGTTTTTATTTTGAAATAGCTGTGTCACTGAGACAGTTCTTACTACTGTGATAATTTTTCTGCTTAATGAGATTCAATGTCACGATACATTCTCAAGTTGTCAGCAAATGGCTATTTCAAAGTAATTTCTCTGTGGTTGCTGCTACTCTCATGGCGCATTGTGGTGTTTGGTTATACTAGACTATAGTTAAAAATTTTAACTTTACAAGTAAATGTGCTAAAGGAAATTAATTCTGTTTATTAAAGTTGTGCTGCGCACTCAGTAGTAATGCCTGCTGTCTAGACAATATTGTTTGGCTATTGTTTAGAATGCTTGTCTAGCATCTTTCTCTCCTGTCGAGGCCAGTGTTTATTTCCAAGAACAGTATCTTTTAAGAAACACTTCTGTGACAGCCAGCATGTCTTATATTTGGCTGACCAACTATTTTCTGTCTCTTAGAAGAATACCCAAGTGGCTATCAGTAACAACTTGGTTATTGCTTACTTTTCAGGGATAATCATGGCTCTCAGTACTACATTGTTTGGGCTTTACTTTAAAATGGTCCTTCCAAATCTAAACAACTCATCAAATCCTGATCTGTGGTTCACTCTAAATTCAGCAAAACCAGGAACAGAAAGCAGCATATCCTGGCTTGCAGTAGTGAGCCTAGGGCTCTTTGTTGCTGGTAAGTGGAAGAGGCTTCCAAGTAGCCATTAGACAAAACTCCAACTTTCTAACGAATGTGACAATTTTGTTCCATTTTGTCACATTATTGATGAATGAAAATGAGTTATGTCTTTCATAGCCTTGGTGATGTAGCCATCAGGTTAGTTAAGCCAATTCCCTGGAAAATTTATACCTCCTTGTGCTAATAGTAAGTAGTAATTGCTCAGGTTAAACTGCTTTACAGTCATTAATGGAAAAAAACAGTCTTTGTTATTGTCTGAGCCACAATGAATTCTGTCATGGAATAAGGCAGCAGCATACCGCTTCGGAGACTTCACGGCAAGACGTTCTGCTTGTTAAGAATGTTCTTGCAGTTAACTTAATGTGAAATGCTCTAGTGTTTATCATGCTGCCCTAAAATAACTTAACTCTTATTTCCTTCTGGTAGAGGTACTGTTTTACTGGAATCATCCCCTAGAGTGAAAACTGCATCCTCTTTACTTGACTAACTGGGGCATCATTCAGTCTTCCCTTTAACATGTACTTAATGCGCATTTATTCTCTTCTGTTTGTAATTGCAGGTTTTGCCCTTGGCTGGGGTCCTGTTCCATGGCTGGTGATATCTGAAATTTTCCCACTTAAAGCTAGAGGCATACTGAGTGGTGCTTGTGTGTTAACAAACTGGGTTATGGCCTTCTTGGTAACCAAAGAATTTAATGATTTTATAGTAAGTACTGTAAGTTACAGTCTCAAGTTTCTTTTCATAGGGAAATTTATTAAAGATGCTCCCGAGTGAGCCTTGAGCCACCGTCTTCTCTGTCAATACAGAACTGTAGTTGTACAGCAGTGAGCTGTAATAATGCGTTTTTTGTGGTTTCCTTTCCCTTAGGGTTTCTTAACGTCCTATGGCACGTTCTGGCTCTTCTCTGCCTTCTGCTGCCTCAATGTAACTTTTACAGCCTTTTATGTTCCTGAAACGAAAGGACAGACCCTGGAACAAATTGAGGCCTACTTCAGAAGATCTTAAGCCTAAGGCTTTTTATATTGTTATGAAGCCTTCATATCATGAATTATGGTGCTGTGGTTGAAACTAACTGCATCACGTGGCAGACATCTTACTTATACTAAACTTGCTATCGAATTATTTTAATGAATTTTGTAAAATCTGAATTCTGTTTTTAAAAAAAAAAATCTGTGGGGAGCTGCGTACCCTTCTGCATACTCCCTGTAGTAAATCTCCCTTGTGCAGGTCTTGGACATACTCTTTTTCTTCAATTCCTGTGTTCTTTTCACCTGGTGCAGCCTGACTACAATGGCCAAGTAAGAATGTTAAATGTATTGGTCAGTTTCTTTTTTCTACAATGTAAATTAAGATCTAATTTTGTAAATAAATAAATTAATTAAATTTCCTTGCTCCACCTTTCCCTTATGGCACATGTTACAGTGAATAAATGAATGATGTAGCCTGGCTAATGTTAATTTCAGACTGCAGTACTTTACCTTTGTGTTGCTGCTGCTATTTCTGGGATGCATATGACCATAGAATAAGTCTTGGTCACAACTGGAGATGAATGCTTGGCTTTCTTGGGTGTTAGTGTTAAGTTGGCATTATTCTTCCTATTGCGGTCAAGTTGGCTAGGAATGCATTTAAATCACAAGAAGGGTTGTAGCTCTTAGGAGAATGCATATAAGAATTCAGGAAACAGCACTGCTTTTTCAAAAGGAATTAAAAAGTCTTGGAAACAGGGAGAATATATTCTTAGCCAGAAAAGGAGAAAAATTATCTTTTGTAGTATTAACTTAAGGGCTAAAGATCAACTGAGGCAAGTGTCTGGAAGTCTAAAAGATGCCTTGAAACAAAAACCAATACTGGATTATAGTTCTTGTCAAAGATGGGTAATGCCTAAGACACAAACACCAATCTCACAGATACGATATAGCACTTAAATGAATGACTTATCTGAAACAAAATTTTTAGAGAACTCAAATGGAAACAGTAATCCAGAGCTGTCTGCAAGACTGTACTACCTCCTGTCTTTAATTTCTTGTCTGATGAACCAAATTTGGAAAAGCCATTAGTTCTACATGTGTGAAAGAAAGACATGAGGTCAAATTTATTATTTATTACATATGAAGGAATAAATCATCTGTTACTCCTTCACAAAGGTGATAAATGGCACTTAAAACAGTTCCAGCTGTGATAGGACTGTTTCTATTTGGATGGCACATCTAAAAACACAAACTATACACACTATCACATGACATTAAAAACAATGGTAATACATCAGTACATAAGACAAGTGGTAGATAAAGAGTTTTTGATCACCAGTGTAGCAAGAATCTTAACAATATGCAATTATTAAATTACAAAGCAGTCTGCTAACATTCAAAGACTTAGTTAAAACTAACATTCCAGGTTGATAATGCTTTTTGCATAAACCTTTAGAGACATAGCATTTTCCATTCAACCAGATAAATACCTAACAGAGCTATAAATAAATATGCAGAAAATAATCTCTTAAATTTTCTCTTCAAATCATGTGCTAATATAATGATTTCCAGTAGCAAATAGGAGTCAATCAGTTGCAGGTCAGCAACAAATTGAAGCGGCTAGGCAGTATACAGGCTGGTGAAGTTGCTGTGCTCAACTATTAGCCTGCATGCAAGTACAGATGATTGCTGCATACTGTCATATGAGCTTTCCTGTACTGTTAATACTAGGTTCTTAAGGTATAATTTATTCCTCCACAAAATCAGGCTAAGCCTATCTTGGAAAATGCTGCTTTAACAGAATTAACAAGCAGTGTGCATATGAACCATTACATCAAATTGTTAATAATGACAATAGTATAGTACTCATGTTCATACACTGAAGGCAAAAAATGACTCTGCAATACAAATACCTTATCACTTGCAGATGGGTTTTCTGCGCACACTTGTAAGATCACATTACTTTAGCTTCGTATATATGCTTGGGACTTCTAATCCCTTAAAACTTGTGGTAGAAATTACAAATATATATACACATATGTATATGGACACACACACATATATGTATGTGTATATATACACATATGTATCTATATTAAAAAAAAATCGAAACCCAAAGGATTATATATCTCAAATGCAGACTAAGCCAACAGCTGTGGGAAAGCTGCTGCATCTGCAAGCACAAGTTATAGAGCCACACCTCTAGGAAAACACGCATTAACTTGAACCTGTGGCTTGGGCAAATATACATAGAACAGCAGAATGTAAATTTCAGGAGCAGCAACCTTGACCATATGTAACTGGTTATGTAATAGTGTTACATTTCATTTTGATGCTATCTGCCTCCTGCCCTTTTAAGATCTGTTTAAATAGTTATTCTTAACTGGCCTAGTACTAGTAAAAAAAAAAAGTATTTTAATTTGAATCTATCAATCAATTGCCAATGCTTGCACATGTATAAAAACAGTCCCATGAAGGCAGACAGTGAATAGCAAGTTTGCTGTTCATTCTGGGTGCCACTTACATCCTGTATGTTCTGCATCGCAAGAACCAAAAAACAACAAAAAAAACCCCACCCACCCCAAAAAAACAAACCAACCAAAAGAAAGAAAGAAAGAAACAAACAAACGCCACTGCAGCCCCAAACCAGGAAAGGATTGTAATCAGAACTGGCCCTACTTGTTCCTTGCAAACCAGGAAACTGAAGGGATCCATACATCCATTCAACCTAGAGTCCAGATCTCTCCCTGCCATGAATAGCACAGCCCTTTCAAATTGCCTGTGGGTCTTTATCTCTCCTTAGAAGGAAGTGGTTTGTTACTTTCAAACATTTATAAAATCTATGCGTACTGCATTGCCACTATAAGAAAGAGCTGGACAAAAAATGATTGTGAGTCTGCAACAGTTCCTAAGGCCCAAACTGTATAGACCTTGGGAAGGGCTCATCAAAGCCTCCGCCTTAAAAACTGCATATTATGTTTGTGAAAGAATTAATTTAGTTCATGTGTCTTGGGGCCTTTGAATCCTAGTCAGCTTCAAAGCTATGGTGATGGTTTAGGAATAGCTGTACATGTTGCATCCCCAGTTTGAACAGACTCAAATGCAACAACATGGCACTGTACAACTGGACACTGATGCTGTTTTGAACAGAGATGCATGGGTATGGGTTCCAGATTAGATGATGTGCAATGGTCCCTTCCAATCTCAACTATTCTATCAGTACGTGTCATCACCCATGCTGGTGAGGAGGCATGAGTACAATCAAAATCGACTGTACCATCTAATGCTTGCACCAAAGTCAATGACATTTCTATGATTTAGTCAGAGTAAGGCACAGTGCTGAAGTGATGACAACAGCATTAGCCAGAAGGGGGTTGAGCCCTGCCTCCTCCAACATATCCAGCATGTTGGGATAAAAAAACGTATCTTGTGGAGCTTTATCTGTTCTACGTGTCCAGAATGGGTCTTCAGTTGAACTTAGCTTGATAGCAAATGTTCAACTTGGTAACAATTCTTCCTTCAGGGACAGAACTTCTTCCATCCAGCTGTAGCAAGATTTTTCAGTATTCCTCTCTATTACAATGACACCCATGTTACATAGATGTAGAGTCAAAGATTATCTTTTCTTATATGAGACCATGAGATGGTCAGCCAACACCAAGAATGCAGGCTAAAGGCAGCTTTAATGTGTGATGTGAAAGTAGGAAGGGTTGTGCTTAGGGTAGACACGGCTACAATTACTGCCCAAGACTACTTTCTAAGTTTTAATGAGTAGATGTATGCACATGCTGGAAAGGTAGAAGAGGAAACATGGCTCTAAGGCTGGAGTTAACCACAATATAGCTGTCCGTCCCAGTAGCCTTCCAACAAGCCTTGTCATCTGACACCAGTCTAAAGTAGGAGAGGTTACACAGATGTATAAAAACCTTGCCGTTTCTAAATGATGCACAAGAGCTTATATATCAATACCACCAGCTGGCTTTTGTTTTGATTTTAATTAGCAGTCTGAATGGTACGGTTCTAAGACAATATTTTGAGAGAAACAATGGCTAGAAGCTAGTTCAGAGAATGTCAACTCATCACACTAAGAGGCATGTAACTCATTGTGGTCTGATGAGACTGTTGAGAGCCCACAGGAACCACATACTTGTACAGTGGATATTTGTCCAGTTGTGCCAGGAATTTCACAGTGTGATATTTTCTCTTTTGATACAAGAAATGTGATCAAGACCTTCACAGAATTTGGTACTTGTGGCATGTATCAAACAAAATTACAACATCATTACTGTGTTCTCTGCCTTCTACCTATATATGGTGCTGCTCTCATACAGTAAGTAGGTAGTAAACTACATATACATGATCCTAAAGCCTCAGCTACCATCTAGGTGTCATATAAACCAAACTAATGTTGCCTGATCCCTCTCAACTTCTTTTGCTAGATCTAACATTATCCCGATATCCCTGTAAGACACGCTGATTAATTACAGAAGCAAAACCTCAAGAAGTGGCAGCCTTGTTAAGGCACTTACTGCATACATTTGGAATGAAAACAGGTAATTTTTTTCCAGGGTTTAGATCCTTCCTATCCTATATGACTAATAGTCTGTTAGGTCTGTTAGTTCCCACTGTGACCTGTGTATCAGCTTGCACCTGACCTATTAGTCAAGCTATAACATAAAATTCAGGTGGGAGGTGTGGGGAGAGGCAGTTGCTGCCTTCTTTCCTCAAACTATACCAACATCCTGTTCCAGATAAGTACCATGAAGCTAGTCTGATCTGGTTTTGTCTAGCTCAAGCAATCAAATTTAACCTGTACTCCCTATAGTCCTTTTGCTGTTTGTTGGTATTTGCTAGATGTCATCAATGCTGTGACTACAGACCTTCACAGGTTTTCATACACACACGCTCTCTTACTTCATGACAAAACTTGATAGCCACTGCTGTGGTTCTGGTTAAAGGAAGTAACTCTTGCGTTATGGCCCCTCTTTCTATAATCATGTCTCAGTTGTGACACAAATGCCACAGCTGTATGCATCTTGACTACTGTCATAGCCAGTGGTCAAGCTCTCTGTCAAGCTTTTCTCATTATTCTTGATCTCCCTAGTGGTCCATCTCTAAGGTTTGCCTTTCAGGATACCTCAATATGTGTTTGGTCAGGTTCTTCAAAACAAGTTTTTAAATCTCCATATATTGCTTCAACTGCTATCAAACTCTGGTTTAGTCATGTTAAATCATACTAGAATAGCACAGGTGAATATCTGCAATATATTTAAAATCTGATATCCTAATAATGCAAAGCAAAGTTTCCAGTTAAAATTGTATTTTAACTAAAATCCCAGCTTTACCACACACTGGTAGTGTCGTCAAAAACACCCATACAACAGAAATTAAATAAACAAGAAATCTTTTTATGGAAAAAGGTAGTGCTTTTGCTTTCTAAAAATATCTTAAGTGTGAGTAGTGCTCCCTAAAGTGGACTGATAAGTCCACAGAAGTGTTTACAACTTCCAGGAGAATAAGCACCACATGATCCTTTCAGATTGATTTTTTTAAACCTTAGCTGCCCAAATAAATAGGACAGGGTAAATTAACACAATCTCTGGAAATAACATTCTTTAAAATAATCACAGGCTCTTGCAAAGACTCTGAGCTGGCAGTTCCCTTTAGAGGCTTATTAAGGTTCACCCCACACATCTATGGGTGCAAAATTACTAAAATAGTGGCCACTGGTTTATAGTGCTTCTTGCTTCTAGATTAATAGCTGTAGAAAACAGTGCTTCTTTCCTTGATCAGCCGCTCCAGCTGAGAGTAAGAAAAGACCCTTTCAGATAAGGCCTTGAATATTTTCTTAGGTGGAGCAATTAGCCATTATATACAATAAACTGGGCAAAAAATACTTTGCAAAAACAGTTTTACATTCAGATAGACTGAAGCAAAAGGCACACATCTCCAGATGGTCATGCTGGGACAGAAAGTGAAATCATGACACATGAATGGTATTACAAAATAAAATTAAGGATACAGAAGTACTTCTACATAGAGAACAAGAAATACTTGCTAATAAAGCTAAAATCTTCATATATAAAAAGCCAGGAAGCATTATGCTTTCATGAAACAAAACAAACAAGAAAAATCAAACAAACAAAACAAACGCCTTTTAAAATATGGTTTAAAATTGATTTTTGGCATAGAGGAAAGGATTAAAGAATTATCAAGCTTTCAACATGAAACACCGTCTTTTAACATAACAAAATATCTAAGATGACTATTTCATCATAGAAAACTAGCTGCTAAGCAATGAAATTTCAGTCTGGATCCAGTTAGAAAAACAGGATTATCTGTAATAATCACTTATTCTGTTGGTGCAAGAGTAGACAACAGCTAATGCTGACACCTGCATTGGAATCTTTGTGTAGTCAGAAAGAAAATCAGGGGTTGGTTCTTCTGCCTGTAATGGGAAAATCTGTAGGTACACTACAATAACAGTTTTCCAGCAGATGGACAAACATAGCTGGGATTTTTTTTATCTGTGGGTTTGTTTTTTTTTTAACTTCCAATTCTTAAGGAATATTTTGAAAGTTTATGTTTTCTATAAAAAGTCTCTCTACTCAAGGATTTCTTAATGCCAAAACAGCTTTCAAGTTTCTCTAAAAAATGTGCATAGACAGGCCAGAGAAAGAAAGCAGCATTCTTCATATCTTACCTGATCTTTATAGAACATCCTTGATTCTTCAGTGAACATACCACAGTCGCATCATTTCAAGGACAGACTGCACTGTTTGGAAAGACCTTGCCTGCAATGCCTTTTTTTTGTTTGTTTTTTGTTTTGTTTTGTTTGATTTTTTTCAAGACTGAAAAACCAAAAGGAGTGATTTATGTTATAAAATTCCTCTTCCCACATGACATAAGACTGTTGTAAAACAACTCATGATAGTAATAACAGCGATTAACTTAGCTAAATGTCATTTAGGTACTTCAAATTATAAGCTTGGAACAAGTAATACCTTTTATTTACTTCAGCTTCAGCCTAAATCTCTCATTGATTACCTACTGTTAGAATGCCACAAAAAGTAACGGCTCATTAACTGAGAAAAGTAAACATACCTATGTCAGAGATACAAGCATCACCAAACCAGGCTGAGCTAGCCAGAACAACATAGGTTCTATAAAGAGTAATAACCAATACTTCCAGCCACATTTTACCACTAGAAGCAGTGTTTGTGACATTCCCATAGAGCTCACAGATTTGTAAGAAAGTGTGAAGTAAGGAAGAAAGGTTTTAAGACTGTCTTCACTTCAAGTCAATGATGTCTTCATCATATAAAGAAATCAGCTGAAATGGATAGCTAGATGGTGAGCTCTCCTCCCTGTTTGATAAAGTATCGGGGTCTGAACTAGTGGAAAGATGACGTCCTTCAGAATAGCTTTCAAAAGAGCTTGATATTATTCTGCAAAGAGGAAGACAAAAAGTTACTAAAAAATACACAGATCAGGGCAAGTAGGATCAATGGCTATTTTTAGATTTAATCAAGTTATCCTAAAGACAGAGACAGACCATTAAAACTGAGTTTCTCTCTGTTTTACTCAGCTGAAAATCATCAAAATGCAATGTTAAGGAAGGCCCCCGCATATATAATTTCCAAACAGTGAAATAAATCACACATGGTTTTACATTGCAGCAGATTTTTTGTTTTGTTAATATCAGTCTACTGTATCTTGGCTGAATTCTGTCACTACTCTACACAAACATAGGTTGTGAAAATAGTGAAAACAAGAGAATGGCAGCAGGGTCAGCTGAGCAGAGCCAAACAGACAAATGTTAATGGTGTTTCTTCGGAAAATTTATTCTGGAAATAGCAACATAAGAGCATATGAAGAAAACGGCAAAGCGAGCCTGCAAAGTGCAGATCTAGTAGTTGAAATCCTAATGACAAGCTCAACTGCAGCAGGTCCCCACAAAATCCCATTTAGTCTTGCTGTGTTCATTAACATGTCTTTAGCAGAAAGTATAATCGTTTCCATACTTCCAGTATTCAGATACTCTAACAAACACATTACCATGAAATTCACATTGGTACACACAGGTCTCAGTCAGCCCTATGCCAACTGAGATAAACTTGAACAGGTTGAAAAACAATCAATTCTGTAAACATTTAAAGTCTAATTTAGGTTCTTTTCTAAAGCCAGTACATTTACCTGTCACTACTAGTTGATCTTACTGCTCCCTGCTTGGGGTCTGACTGTCTTCGAGGAACCTTTTTTTGCTTCTGTGCACTTTCTGTCTTGGGTATAGGATCATCCAAGAGGCCTCAACAAAGGAATAAAAGACTTAATACTCTCAACAGAAAATAAAGCATTCATGAAAACATTAAGGTATCTGTTGCTAGTTTCCATTATTAACTAAATTGTTTCTACCTGGCTTAGAACATGGTCACCTTATATGTGATCAGACACTGGTTAGAGTATTTACAAATGTTTTCTCACAGTTTCATTTGTTTGTTTATACTACTTAGTTATGAACATTGGTTGCATGTCACAAATCTGACTATGATGATCTGAAGATTAGAAATCATATACTTGGCAATAGATATGCACGCTGAAGAATGAAGAGAGTTTACCCAGCAATTCTTTACGTGTTCTGCTTGCAATTTCTTTAATTTCCATACGAGACAAGGACAGCGAGTGAGTAACTGGAAGAGAGGCAATGCCACTAGATGTTGTAGTAGTGATGACCTTGGGAGCCAAAGGTGACTTCAGAGGCCGTTCAATGCTTCGCCCAACCAGATTACTGAGAGGAATTTTGTACAGTTTTTTGCATGGAACTTCACCTGAAAGACAGAAGGAAAAAAAGAATGTTACACTTTCAGAATAGAATCAGTTCTTAATGCTTCCAAATGATAAGTTATACAGAAAAGTTATTCTGGTTGTACTGAGCGCTTTTCAACCCAAATAACAAAGATCTTTTTTTGCCCCAGAGATCTTCCAATACAAATAGGCCAGGAGGAGGAAGAAGTACAACCATATTGTGCAGACTTGCAATTTGACTTAGAGAGAAAAAGAAGATTGACTCTTTGCGATGTGATGAATCAGCAGTGTAACCAGGAAGTAAAATCACATGTCCTGAGGCTATTCTGTATTCCGACTATTACACCATTGACTCTGCCATCTGTGCAATATTCCCCACGTATTCTAATATGTTTCAAGTATATTGGAGCCTGGATCCCGAGTGGTTTAAATTATGGCTCCTCTTCTTAGGTGACAGAATACCACGGATTTTCCTAATTCCTAGAAAAAAACCCACCTTACTATCAAATAGCACTGCCTTTTAAACTGAAATTGTTATTCCTTTCTCCTTTCCCCTTCTGCCAACAGTAGAGCACCAGATTTAGGTGAGGAACATATACATACATCTTGCATTATCTAGTTGATGTTCCCTTGTTTCTCCATTATTGTTCCCTTATAGTCTGACTGTTCACAAAAGAGCTTTAACCATCCAGTGGTAGTTCAGCTTTTCTTAAATGAAAGGAATAGCGTATGTGAAATCTCAAGTTTCCCCACAATTTTACACCTCTTTTTGCATTATTAGTCTTGGCCATATTGTCAAAGATTCATCAAGCTGCTGAAGCCTAATCTCTTCCCTCCTACAGAAATGATTTCTTCAAAATAGTGCTACCACGCATTCAGAAGAGATAATATGGGGCAAAAGCTCTGCCAGGTGCTTCATCTCTGCGGATAAGTAAAAAACCTCTCTTACAGACTCTCAGCTAGGAACTGAAATCTTTTTACCTGATCTTACTGATTTCATCTTACTAAAGATCACTGAGATGTGATAGCTGTTGGAATGATCAGAGATCGTTATTCAAGCTGCCTGGAAACCGTGTTACCTTCTAAAGAAGAAAGAGAACATTCTGGCATTTCATAAGATGTTGGTGTTTGAGGAGAACTCCTTGAACTCATTTCCTTAGAGCTGCTGTCCGATGATCCACTTACTGCAGCAGTAGTTTTAAAATAAATATCTGACTGAAATGACAGATAACTTAGCATTAGTACAGCAAGACTTTCTTAACCATCTTCTGAGTCACTGCTCAAATGTTTGTCTGCTATGTTCTATTGCCACTATTGCTGTATTGCTACTAAGTCAATGAGTCGGTCATGGAAAGGTTATCCCACTGGAAGTGCAGAGAACATCTGTGATGTTGAGGATAGCATTTGCTCCATAAGCAGTCAGATATCTCAGATCTGCATTACTGTGAGCAATAAAGGACAGTGAGATCAATTCTGATTCTCTTTGTACTTGATATAGACTAAGAGCACACAGATGAACAGTTACCACCAACCAAGTAGCACCTTTTTCAGTTTTGGTTTGTTTGTTTTTTGGCTGCAGCAACTTTTTATGTGAATTAGATCCCAGCATATCACAGAAATAGTCAAACATGATTTTCCTGTGTCTTACCCTTGATGCTACAAGTTGAAGTTCAGGAACAACTGCTGTGTGGACTAAGTTCCCATTCACCACTAATCGGATCTCAATGGAATCAGTAGTGAAGGCAAGGATATAAGGGAAAGCACATACTGCAATGAAACAAAAATTATTTGGCAAGGAAAGATGGTTAATGTAAATGTTCCTTGGACACTCCATGAAAACTGTCCTTAAGTATCTGACCTCTTCTGGCATCTCCCTTTCCTATGAAAAGGGCTGCCTAACATACTGATGGACATTAAGCTACATTGAGCCTGAAAAAAACTTCACTCTCCATGCCCGGCAGAACATAGACTGAATGAAAAATGAAAAACAGAAAAAAGAGCAAGGAAAAAAAAGTTCAGCAAAGGAAGACCTTGGCACCAAGGCTCCACTTTTAAAAATTATCATATGCAGAAACTTAGCTTAAGTGGCATCATGAACGTAACATGCGTATTCCTAGTATCCATGCTATAATTCCGCTAACAGGCAAGTGCAAGCCTAAATGGTAATGAAAAAATCCAGCCATCTAGTAAAAAGATTTATTTTCTTACCAACAGCATAAGGAACTTGATTCCAGCTGAAGTGGAAGTCATAAGCTGATGGCTGGATCAGTGGAGAACCTCCATTGAAAGGATATACCTTTCTGTATTGGCAAACATCTGCAAAAAAAAAAAAAAAAAAGCAACCATCACCTTACACTGCAAGTGACAAACACCAACTTCATAGGCAGATTTTGCAGAAGTTTGGGCATTATATACATAATCAAACATTTAAGTAGAAGTCCCTCTATGTCTAAACAGATTAGGGAAATGTGCATCCTCTGTGCACACAGCATTTGAAAGGTCAAAACAGAAGACCTACGTTTTGCTAAGTATTTCACAAAGTAAGTATTACTCAGTTTTGACAGTTATCAGTTCCTTACCTTGTCTGTGGCTAGAGGAATAGTCAAGAAAATTTCAGAAAGCAGTGTCACTAGAACATTGTACCTCTCTGTCAGTAAGAACTGCCCTTCAAGCAGCCATATGCTAGCACACTTCACATTCTTTGAAGACTTATATGCACAGGACACTACAGACACCAAGATTTCATTAATCATATAACTCGTGAACTTACTTCTTAGCTGCTGTAAGTCCACTCATTCTGACATTAACAGTCTTTCTACGAGTCAGATATGAACGCTAGCTTATACGGCTTCTCACTGCAATGCAATTCTAAATTTTTAATTTAATAGATCTAGATAATGGGGAGCTTAACCTTCCATTACCAACAGACTTTTCTTTAAACACATGCACTAGTGCTCATCAAACAACTATCAAAGTTCAGGACTTGAGAAGTCATATCAGCAAACAATAAGAAAGCTGAAAGATGAGATGCAATTGCAATAATCTTTTCTTCTTGACGAGCTCATATGAGTGTACTGGGCACGCCAGGTAAACATCTATGACTCTCTCAAATATATGCTGCTTCCAGCTCTTTTCTATTTTTTAGGTAAAATTATATTTTTTTTCCTGTACTTGATGTCCTTGGACTAAATCAAAGTTTATATTCAGTAGTGTACTACAGGTCTTTTTCTGAATAGAAACTTTAGACGGTACCAAACCCTGTGTTTTCATATTTGTTGATACTATGATGATATTTTCAGAATTATAAAACTCTGAAGTACAAATGTAGGCTTCCCTGTGACACTATCGTAGAAATAGGAATTCAAGTTTCTGCAAGCCTGTTGAGCAGCTTTATTGTAACTTCGAGATCAGTAAAGTTTGTTAGCTTTGGCTCAGCAATGAGACTATTAGAGAGGAACTTATTCCATGCAGACATATAGGTGGGAATTCACTATTCTCTGTCAGATAGAATTTTAGTTCTGCAGCAGTGCTAAGTGAACCAGAACCAGGTAGGATCTGGCAAGCTACCAGAACCAATAAGGCCTCACAAAGCATAGAAAGATATAGTTTAGAGACACTTAAAAATTGTTCTGTGGTACCAATCTGATAGCCAGTGCTGGAACATAAGTTTATTTATCCTGTTTCCATCAATGGTCACTTTGGACAGACAAACAGGACATGCCTTCTGCAACAGAGAAAGCCATGCCTTGTCCTTCATCATTGCCTCATAAAGGCTGCTTCACACTAAGAGCTTCTATTTTCATGAGGATCGAAAGAAAAAGTACCTGTGTACTGCAGAGAGGAGCATATAAGTGTTATATCCAAGGTCATTTTATAAAAGGGGATTGAGATAATCACAATGACATAATGCAACAGTGCCAAGAAGTAGGCGTATTAAAAAACACAAAGACAGAATGGGACAGCAGACAGAGGAAAAGGGGGTGAAATGCTGAATTGTACATGTCTTGAAATCATGTAATAAATGTGTAACTACCTAAAGAATGAGCTAGATCTGAGGAAACAGGACTTTTGTGAGGTGGCAACATCTGTAAACATAGAGATACACACCTATATACCTGAAATTAAAACCTAACAGCTAGTATGTCTATATTCAACACACTCTGCAATAAAATAATACTTCAATTTCTAGTCTTTCTACTATGCATTTAAATTAAAAAGAACATATATTGAAAAACTTCCCATGAAGCACTGAAATTTATCTTAAAATACAGATCTAGATTCCAATGAAAAAAAGAATTACATATGCAGATTTGAGGTGTTACCATTTTCAGTCTTCCCTAAATACTTACAGTTATAACACAACAGTAGACCAGCTTCGCCATCTTCATATACATCAATAGCTGCAACAAAATTAACCTGCAATGACAATGGGAAAGGGTAATGAACAGGCAGAGGATACTGAGGTTATTAAAACCAGTTGGGGGAATGCACAGCTACAGATAAAAAAAAAATATATGGAAAAAAAAAAGCAGCCTCTTTTGTGATTAATTTTCAGGATGCTCTCAGGATGGAAATCAATTTCATTTGTATTCAGTTCTGTACAGTACTGAATATTCAATACCACAACCCATACTATAAAGCAATAATAACTGTATGGGTCAAGAACTGTTAAACAAATCTGGAAGTTTATTGTCTATACCAAACACTTTTTGGCCCAAAGTTTCTATGTCTATACCAAACACATTTTGACCCATCCTTTGTAGTGACTGAAAGCCGTTTCTGGTTTGGGAGGCAGGGAAGTAATTTGGTGCCCCATTTCAACATCACAAAAATCACTGGCTCATATTAACTATCTGCTTTGTTTGTGTTTTCAAAGGAAATAAGGATTCCTGGGGAGAAGAGGAATGAGGTGGTGGGGTGGCGGTGTACTTCTCCATCCCCATTCTTTATCTGTAGTTCCTCCTCATCCAGATTAAGACAGATTTCCAGTGCTGTGGAGAAGCTTACACCGTTTCGCCCATGCTAGGAATACCAAATCTCTTCATCATCATTTGAATAAATATTCAGATATTTATTCATCTGAATAAAAATACAGATGATTTAAAAAGAAAATTACCTATTAACAAGAACTATCAAATGAAGAGAGTAGTCCCTTATCTCATTACAAGGAAGAAAGCTGGTTAAAAACAACAACAGAAAGATTAACTGTGCAAAATCTTCCTTTTTTTTTTTCTGTCTAAAGCTGTATGTCACATCCATATTTAGAAACAATTAAAATGATCTGATTTTCAGAGATGCTGAAGACCATTATCTTCCCAGCAGCAGGAAATACTGAAGCTCTTTACTGAAAATCAAGACATTTGCTTAAATCTCAACCCTGCGTCCTAGTCAGGAAGATTCAGTTAATTTATTAGTTGACTGGGCAGCAGTTTCTTAAACAGAACTAAAAGCTACGTGTAAATATTTTAGCCTTAGTACATGCAAATAGGAAAATCTGAATGAGATACTGGTGGCCAACAACTGAAGTAATTTGGCTGAAATTTCTTAAACAATAAAACACTAAGACCACAAAGAAAAAGCAAAAAGCAAACTATTGACTAAGAAAGGAGAAAAAATCATTTATGCTGACAGTGATATTCCAGAGCCTGAAAGATAGACTCTTTCCTAATGTGTCATACCTTATAACTACTTCTACTGGGAGTGACTATTATCACATATCCCAAAAGGAACAAAGAGAGTGCCCTAAAGCAGAGGTTATAGAAGTGAAAAGTAAGAGACATGAGGATCTCCACAAATTACACTCCCAGGTGGTCGGCATAGGATACACTGAGACTGCAAGAAATTATGTTCAGCATGGTTCTGCAAGAAAATAGTTTCAACGATGAAAACTTACCTTGTTTGTTTCAACATGATGCAATCTATAGGACTCCCCAGTACTCTCATTGACTAAATCAAACTGATGCCGATATGCTACACAGATCATATTGTCACTGTCTCCAGCAGGTCCATCCACCAGCGTCATCACCACTGGAGGGTCAGAAAGGCATATTTCCTACAATGTAAATAACAGAATTATTCTCTTTTTCAAGCTTCTACTGTGTGTGCTGCAGGTACTCCATGAATTTAAAGGGATGTGCTCTAAGCACAGAAACAGGATAAAGAACAAGAAGAAACTTAATTCAAAAAAGCTAAAAGATTTCTTTGGCATACATACAATGGAACTCCATCATATGGCTTCTCACTTTTACTTGTCTGGAGGTTCAGGAACAAAAAAAAAGAGCATGCTCTTCGTCTCTTTCTCCCCACTAGCTGAGTGCTGCCTAGTCAGTTAAGGTAATTAGTGATTAGATTACACGTACCCGGATGTACTGGAACTCCTCTACTGGAGATTCAGATGACAAGAGCAGAGAGCTGCTGGTTAAACTGTTGCATGGATTATATTTCTTTGTGACGAGAAGTAGTTTGTTCCGAATAGCCACAACAATCCTCAGTTCACTTCCATGGTGAGTATTAATGGCATACAAATGGCAGCCTGGGGAAATAATGCTCTAGATTGTAAGTGTTTGGGGTAGGGTCTGCTTTTTTTTTTTCTGTATTTGTATGATGATTAGTATAACAGGGCTCTGATGCATGACTTAGCAACACAGAATTACAAACCTCCCAATAGGATAGCATTAACTTCTAGAAAAAGACAAAAGGCTATGACTCTCTTGAAATCTATTTTTCCCCTTACTCCTTTTGCAAGTAAAGGCTAAATATTTATCCAAAAAATGGATTTTCTTTATTCTGCAGTTTCCAGCTTTCCAAAGCAGCTTGCTTCTGAAGACCAGAACATTTTTACATCTACTAAAATAACTGGCACACCTAAACTAATCTAAGCACTACTTAGACTGTACTACTACTGGAGATTTGCCAGTGTTCCTCTACCTTAAAACGTCCTTTATTTCAGTCTCACATGCCTACGTAATTCTTCTCATACCCCTTAATCCTGAAAGCAACATACTTATTTTTCTCTAGAGCTTTTCAGCAGCAGTGATTGCCCAGTAACATGGTATTTCTACAAAGTTCTAAATTGTCACGCTGGACTATACCAGATTTATTTTCACATATAAGCTTAACAAAGTTTGAATTGACTGTTCAGAAAAAAAACTAAAGGTGAACACCTACAACTGCCTCAAGGGAGCTATTAAGCCCCTGGCAACTACAGGCATCATACCTCGGTGGATGTTTTTAACATAGAACAATAAAATCACCTTTTGTTCTCTCCAGTTTATTTTCTCTGCAGTCGTATTTGCTTCTTATCATTTTCTTTGTTTCTATATCTTTTTGGACAGCACTGAGTCTGAAGACAAGGAGACGAGAGTCTTTCCCTGAAGGATGAAGGGAGCCAGGAGACACAGTAAGTTAAAAAAAATTGGTGGTAATTTGAAGTTAATACTTCCAAAGAGAAGAAGCATCTAATAAACAGAGCAAAGAAAGACAAAGCATAATGCTTCTCTGGGGACAAGCTGCAATGTCATACAAGTCTGCTTATGAACTCTCTAGGCTTTACTATTCTAGAAACCAATCCCTTCAGTTCAGGTGGTGCTGCACCAAAGAATGACATAAGAGCTTTGAAATAGTGAAATGTACGCTATTCCACAAATATACAAAATTTTGCAAGATAGCAAAAATATAATAGACATTAACTACATGGCAAGAGTAAAAGGGTTAACTTTAAAAGCTGGTACCATCCAGCAAAGCAGCTGATAACTGGATCCTTAACAGAGTTTGAAGTCCTTCGGGATGTAGACTGGTTTTGCTTATCAGTTCTTCAAAGGTAGGCAAGTTAGGTTCAAAGCATATTCCAGCTGCAAAAATAATACAGTATCTACTTCCATGGCTAAATCTGTTTCCCATAAGGATAGATATGAGTGGAATCTTCAACTCCTAGATTTAAAACAAATAAATAAATGAGGCACTACTACTTGGGAAATAAGTGACTTAAGAGTAGTTTCTTATCTAAGAAACCAAGTTTCTTAAAATGCAAGCAAGGCAAGATTTTCTGACAAAGGTGGAGTCTTTTACTAAACTAGCTGGTCTGGCTGGAAAAATTAAGCATGCTCTCTTAATATACAGTTGGTATGGATCCCACCATAAATGTAAAAGCAAAATCATGGGTGCTGCCTTCAATTCTGAGAGAAAACAACATGAATCAGGTCATCTGGCCCCTGCATGACCTTCTTTCCCCAGAGCAAGTGTAAGAGAAGAGAAGATGCCACACTTCCTTAAGTCTGCCCCAATTTGAAACATTAAGTAATATGACTCAGAAAGCAAATTCTTACTGTCAACATTGACAAAAGGAAAATAAAACATGTGCAATCTCTCTCTTTTCAAGAACATGTGCACACAAGAATCTGTGCTTCCATGAACGAGTTCACAGAAGAATGGCAAGCAACATTCACATCTTTTTGGAGGGAAAGCCAAAAATCCATGAGCTAAGTCAAATGTTCAAGCACAGTGTTAATGCTCTCATCAATTCAGTCTCTCTTTGGACTTACTCCTGTCTTTGGAGCTCAGTTAGTTATTCCAAACATAACAACCTGAAGAATCCAGCATCAGAATCCAGCAAATTCCTCAAATAAGCAAAGATGGTAAATACAGTTTTCTATGGTGGGGACAAATCTTATTAGTCAGACAAACATCAAGGCACAGAAAACACACATCTTATGTTTGTAATGTCAAACAAGTTGCCAAAAGATAAACTATGCTGTAGATTTACAGCAAGTCAACTAGTCCATGCTTTGGGTCCTCGCTCTTTTCTAAAGCCTTTCTCCTTTTGATAAGGCTGTCTATAAGGTGTTTCCCACTCTATCCAAGAATCTCTTCGACTTCATAGAATGAGAATCACAGAATGGTTTGGGTTGGAAGGGACCTTAAAGACTATCTAGTTCCAAACACCCTGCCATGGGCAGGGACACTTTCCACTAGACCAGCTTGCTCAAAGCCTCATCCAACCTGGCCTTGAACACTTCCAGGGATTGAGCATCTACAACTTCTCTGGGTGACTTGCTCCAGTGCCTCACCACCCTCAGAGTAAAAAATTTCTTCCTTAGATCTAATCTAAATTTACCCTCTTTCAGTTTAAAGCCATTATCCCTTGTCCTAACACTACAAGCCCACTCCAGCTTTCTTGTAGCCCCTTTAGGTACTGGAAGGCTGGTGTAAGATAACCTCGGAGCCTTCTCCTCTCCAGGCCGAACAACCCCAACTCTCTCAGCCTGTCTCCAGAGCAGAGGTGCTCCAGCTCTCGGATCATCTTCGTGGCCTCCCTCTGGACCCGCTCCAACGGGTTTGCGTCCTTCTTGTGTTGGGGACCCCAGAGCTTAATGCAGCACTGCAGGGGTGGGTCTCACGAGAGCAGAGCAGAGAGGCAGAATCCCCTCCCTCGGCCTGCTGCCCATGCTGCTTTGGATGCAGTCCAGGACACGGCTGGCTTTCCAGGCTGCCAGTGCACATTGCTGGCTCATGCTGAGCTTCTCATCAACCAACATCCCAAAGTCCTTCTCCTCAGGACTGCTCTCAATCCATTCTCTGCTCAGCCTGTACTTGTGCTTGTGATTGCTCCGACCCATGTGCAGGACCTTGCACTTGGTCTTGCTGAACTTCATGAGGTTCTCACAGGCCCACCTCTCCAGCCTGTCAAGGTCCCTCTGGATGGCATCCCTTCCCTCCAGCGTGTCAGACACATCACACACCTTGGTGTCATCAGCAAACCTGCTGAGGGTGCCCTCGATCCCACTGTCCATGTGGACAACAAAGATGTTAAACATCGCCAGTCCCAACACCGACCCCTGAGGAACACCACTCATCACTGGTCTCCACTTGGACCGATTGACCACAACTCTTTGAGTGCAACCATCCAGCCAATTCCTTATCCACCAAGTGGTCCATCCATCAAATCCATGTCTCTCAAATTTAGAGACAAGGACGTTGTACAAGACAGTGTCACAGACTTCTCTGAAACTATCCTTGCCCATGGCACTTGACCGCTAGCTAATATGTTCCATGTTAGATGCAATAATTTTGGGCTCTGATTTCACTTCAGAAAAGGCATAAGGCAGAGTTAGTTTTAGAAATACAACACTTGGTGAATACTGTTATCATGAGTTTTCTGTTAACCAAGTACAAGACCTGTCATCAACTTTTGCAATAACTGCTTATGATTACGCGATACCTGCTCAGAAAGTCTCACAGCTTGTTGGCAACTCTTGGAGAGTGCAAATTATCCCATGGCTGTGGTTGCTGCTTAGCAACTAATTGATCGTTTTTGTCAATTTAAAGTCCTTAACAAGTATGTGGCATCTTTATTTAGGAAAGGAATCAAGAGTGGCTCTCAAATTCATGGAACATTCATGAAATGTTATGAAATGAAAAATGTAATCACGGGCTCGCCCGTTCACCCACTGTTTTACAACTACTGCACAATTCTTGGTGCTGCATGTGAGAATTTTCAAACACCATCACATACATAAAAACCTACACATGACCAAACACCTTAAAACGCTCTTCCATTTCTACCAACTTTGATTTTAAGCCAAAGCAGCTATTGACACAACCTGAAGGAAGGCCATCTTTCCCGATACAGAATCAGTTGTAATTCTCATGACTACCATGACTTGCCTTGAGATCAGAGATGGTTTTTAATGCAACAGTTCAAGACTGAAAAAAGCTTATTCTAAATTTATTACCATTTTCTCCTAGATTCTGCCTCTGATTAAGTAGCTGCTCCTCCAGTGATAACTATAGTGTTCAGTCTTCGTACCTGAGCTACTATTTCAGCTAAATATTTTACAAATATTCTTGGTGATGCAGACAATTCCAAAATGCTACATATCTATGTACCCATAGCAAAACTCAATAACTTTTCCTAGCCAGTCTCAATGTCTGCATTCTTCAAATTAAGAAATGATTGTAAACAGGCAGATATAGTGGAGAGCAAGTATTACCCCCTAAATGAAGCACTGTTATTTTTGGAGGTTATGCCAAACTTCAGAAGACCTTTTATGCTTCTATCAAACATGTCATATTTACCTCTGTGAAGATGCTATGTGTGTGCAGCAAAGAATAACACATACGATAACTTCTTTCCTGGGCAGGCATTTCACTATGAAGGCAGCACAATGACCACTGCCTTCACTGAAATTAGTTTGATATGCTTTTAAAAAGGAACTGGGATTTAAATCCCCATAGGCCACAAGATCTGCACCCCAGATGTTGACAGTAAGCTTGCCTTTCAGCAGACATAGATCTTCACCTTTCCTTGTTGTTTAAAATAGCCCTGGCCCCTTGACCAGTGTGCCCTCTAGGATGCATCACTCCTCTTTCACAATACTAGTTCTTTTGCAGACGTTACAAACAACCCCACTATAGTATTAGATTTATCTGTGGCTACCTACAAAAGTGACCGTCGTCGGAGCTTTCTTAGCTTTTCTTAACCTCCTACAGACTTGATTCTTCCAAGTGGAAGCAGTTCTTCCTCATCCCCCACCTCACCCACTTGTCCAGGCATTTCACAAAATGAAACTGGAACAACAACAACAAAAAAGTGTTTGGAGGACAAAACAGATCCATTTCTGTCCCTTGCCTCTCATTACTAGGACAAATTTAACCAGTATATGTCCCAAACTAGCCCACTATAGTGTTAGATTTAACTGTGTCTGCATTAGAGCAGTGGCCGTTGCTACCAAAGCAATTTGTGCTGCTGTCATTGATACTTGTTGTATTGGTGCCTTCTTCAACACCTTCACTTGGAATAAGCTCTTGCTGATAGTTAAACTTAAAAAGTTAACCCTATAGCATATAACATTTTATCCTAAAAACCCACAAAGTCTTTGAATGCAGTTTATGAGCCCAGAATGAGCATGCTTTTGCTCATCTAACTCATTAGTTTCTCATTTTTGCTGCTGAGGTGTAGTCTGAAAATGAAAGGCAAGTATGATTTTTCTTCCATCTCAGATCTTAATTTCAATACGGTATGCGAATACAAAATCGGAGGCCAGAATTCTAGCAAGTATGAAAGAACTTTCTCCTAAATGCTTCAGAAAGCATCCATATCAAGAGTTAAAAATCTCTGCAATTTTTTACATGAGTAAGACTCTATGAGACTATGTTTGAAGTGTCATGAATCGATGCCAGTAATACCTTGCTCTGTTACCTCAAAATGCCTGCTTACATCTCTCTCTCCAGGTTTAACCAAAGAGTACAACGTTTTGACTATTAAACATAATAATCTTTTCTAGAAACTTCACGAACTAAACTTCAGATACAACTACTCTTTTCAGAACTTCAGAATCATCAGCCATGCTCAAAGTGTCTTGAGAGAGAACTGCTAACAGCTCTCAGGTAGTTTGAGCCAGTTCTGTAAGGTTCCAGGGTGAATTTCGTCAGATGTGTCCAAACTGGGCAACTCCCAATGACACAAAAGGAACCATGTTTTACCTTAAGTTTGGGTAAATGTAACTTCAGCCAATACTGAGCAAACAGACATTATGTGGTAAAAAACAATAAACCAATCATATTTATAATCCTATTCTTCATGTTACACATAAAGATCCTGTTCTTGCTTTGTGTATCTTCACTTTGTGAAATTCAATAACAGACTATTGGGTAAAAAGTACTTAATTGAAAAAGTGCGCATTTTCTGCACATTTAATGCTTCCAAATCAGGCTGAAAAAGGAAACATTGCCAGTTCAAACAACATTTAAGTTTTTTTATACAAGAACCTTCAAGAAAATACATTCTATAGCACTAGGATGTGGTGACAGCTAACAGAATAAATACCAACAAAACATATTTGGTAAAATAGTGACAGCGCAAGTAATTTCCCCCATGTTTTTTCACAACTGAATAAACATATAATTCAATCAAGGAGATTTCCAATGAACATCAAGTTCCAACAGTGGCTGAAGAAAGACCATACGACCAGTTTCAGGCTTGCCTTGAAGGAAGCATGAATGAGCATTTAGAGATTTCAGCCCCCCTGTCCCAGCCTTTTAGAAAAATAACAACTGCTGTACCTACTCCCTTATTCTAAATGAGGCATCTGATATACTCACCACTGATAGACATGATTGCCTCGAGACATACGTACTCAGCATGAGCCATGTTCATATGAGAATCAAAGAACAGGGACCTCTCCTACCTTTGTCTGTTCGGGCAATCAAAAGATCCAGAGCTTCCAACACATGCATCTGCTTTATTTGAAGAGTTTTATCAAACACTTGCACTGACGGTTGACCATCTAAAAAAGAATCACACATATTTATCCAAATTCCTGCTAAAATTTGCCAGTCACTGTTTTTGACCTTATCTTTCTTATTACAAGAATCCAATTTTTATTTTACAAAAATGAAAAAACCTGCATAAAGCTGCTATGTACGCCACAGCATCAGAGCCAATACCTCCTCACGAGTGAGTTTTATCATTGCCATGGATCAGATTATGCAACTGAAGACTAAAAAGGACCTTCCTTTGGAAAGTTTGAGAATTATCACTGAGAACTAACTTCATTCCCTCAGTCCTGCTGGCCTTATGTGGCACATAGAAGGTAACAGGTCAAACTAGCAATATCATTGCTGTGGAAGAAGCAGGCTTGCATTGTCACATAGGGCTTTGCCTTCATGCTTACTATCATGAAGGGCTAAGAAATCCAGACAAGCCATTTAAATGCTCCTTGAGCTTGCACGTGACTTCACAAGTCTTTTCAGATGGTCAAGAAAACAACATCTGAAATACTGAAACATTCAGAAATCTGCATGAATATTGAGTCCCAAATACAGCTTGATTTTGCTGCAGAGAGAATTTTTGCAACTAGGTTACATAAGTGCAATAAATTCACTGGGATTGGTAACTAACCTTGTAGGTGAAGACCTGTGAACACCTGAACAGAGCTTATGAACATACATTTTCAAGAAAATGGTCAGATACATAAAAATTGATACAAAAATACTAGATCATTTACTAACCATTTATTAACAAGATGCCAGCATCTGTAGAAACCAGCAAGGACTGACCCCAAGAATCTGCACAGACAACTTCATGAGGAAAGTTACTGCAGAAAGATTGAGATTCCCAAGGCTATGAAGTAACACAAGGGATATATATAAAGTACATGAAGAAATACAGACATACCGACACAGAATGTGATGGACAATGAAATAAATTGTAATAAAAGTAATTTAAATTTAAAGTAATAAAATGTAAATGCTTTTGGCAGGATACATTTCCAAACAGTATATTTTTCTGAATTTGATATATCAAAATTTAGTTAATTTTGTTGTAGAGGAAATACTCTTCATATTAATTGGGTTTGGAGACTAATAAGTGTAAGACACACTCCTGAAAAACTAGAATTAAAACACGTGCAGCTGATACTCAGTGCAACTCTGGAAACACTCAAAATGTATTTTATTTTAAAAAAAACACTATAGACATAAAACACATGTACCACCATGCACGTGCAATTTGCTTACATATTCTGGCTCAGTTTGTGATGGTTAGTCACCAGCGCATGGTACAGTTAGAAATGTCTTTCTATCAAATGGTTCTTTTGTCATGTGTTCTTTGTACTTACCTCCCAGAGTCTGCCCCTCCTCCCCCAATTTAAATATTAGCTGAAGTCTCTGAAATTCTAGAAGCACTTCTGAAGCTTCTGTATATAAGATGCATGTAGAAGAGTGTGGTTTGCATCTTTCACTCCCTAATGCCCTTCAACAAAATCTGGTATTACAGGAAATAAAAGCACAACTGAATTTTGTTTCAAACTTGATGCAGAAGTTAAAATAAAAGACGATTGTGTATGGAAGATGGCATTTTCATCAAATATTCTCAGATATTAAAATATCCACACTTGTTCTAACTTGAGAAGTTAAAAGCTTCTGCCTCCAGGCTCATCCTCTATTAATCTGATATTTGCTACAGAATCACTCTCACAGAATCACGGAAACACAGAATCTTAGGAATTGGAAGGGACCTCAAAGGATCATCTAGTCCAATCCCCCTGCCGGAGCAGGACCACCTAGATCAGATCACACAAGAACGCGTCCAGGCGGGTTTTGAACATCTCCAGAGAAGGAGACTCCACGACCTCTCTGGGCAGCCTGTTCCAGTGTTCTGTTACCCTTACTGGGAAGAAGTTCTTCCTAGTGTTTAAGCGGAATCTCCTATGTTCCAGCTTATATCCATTTCCCCTTGTCCTATCATTGGATGCTTTGACATACTTTGACACTATACATTTAATTTTTTGCTGCTACAGCATCTAATTACAAAAGTAAACAAACAGTATGCAGAACTGATATGCAATGCCAAACTTGATAGTGTTTAATTTTTCATTACTCTCCTCAGACAGATGGGTTCACTCACCTCCTTTTTACAAAAGCTTGTAGTTGCCAAGTTAGCTGTGGCATCCTCTTTCACAGCAGTTTTCAATTTCAATGCCTAATACAAACAGATGTTTTATTTACACTGAGTATTTGTCAGTAATACCCAAGCTAAAGACTACAAAGAAAGGACTACAATTTAGGACTACAAAGTAACTCCAGTTTGGAATTCCTATCACATTTTAAGTAATTAGAAAAGAAGCAGAATTCTGTATATCCTGAACAAAGTCTGCATGATTTGATAGAGGGCTGCTAGATACCTTTTCAGCCAAAACATATGTTGGTTGGATTTTTTTTGTTTGTTTGTTTTTTAAATGGAAACTCAAAATCAGAAAAGAAGTGTCAAATACAGTAACAGAGAAAAGTCTCCACCTCAAATCATACAAGCTAGTCATCTACACAATTCATTCCATAAGCCAGCTGTACAGAGGATCCTTTTATCAACTATACAAGCTGGCCTTTCATTTGCAAAACTTCCTAACAAATCACTAAGTCAAACTATATAGATACATCGCCAGGGATGCCAAGGACTCACAGCCACAGCATCACAAATTCTTCAACTAGAAGTAACTAGAAGCCAGACGATTCTGAAAGGGCTAAGAGCTCCAGAGAAACGCTGTATAAACCTAGTGTCAGTGAGATACAGTGTCTGTTTAAGGTATCCTACATACCATTATTGCTAATCTTTAAAGTGACGACAATGGAATTGCTACAGCATTCTTTAATGCAAAGTTTAGAAATAACCTAAACCAATTTTACTGCCCTAAAGTTTGCCTACCATCACGCACGGTCTCTGTGAAATGGCAGTGATCAGCTGTATGCACATTTGCACATGCAGCTTACAGAGACGCACAAAATACTTCATTGCATTAACATTTTCATTTCGCCTCATCAGTTGGTAGAGATCACCTTGACAATAAATAAATTACTTAAACATACTGTTGAGTCATCAGTGAGTTTTGTTTACTACCTAAAAACTTAACTGACTGTAACTAAGGGACAGACACATTCATAGCGTTTGGCAAGAACAATCAAGAGCTACTTGCAAGGCATGACTGAAACGCATTCAAGACTACAGTTTGTAACTTAGAAGGAACTTCTTTTAGGGAAACGAAAGATTTAAACGTGAGAAGAACCTCCAAGAAAAACAAATAGGTATTTATGAATTTTTAACATACATATTAGGTTTCTCTTCGATGAACACTACGCTGGGGATGAAAGTCTTGTTCAAGAAAATGGTCCCAACTATATTTGTTACATGAGTATCTCATCAACATTTAACAACGGGCGGGGGGGGGGTGGCAGAATCAAGCTTATAGGTTTCTATACTTTTGATAATCAAGTTTTTCTTTAACTTCTGTAAAGTAATTAGTAAACTTAGGGAATAAACCATTGGTTACTTCTGTCTGAATATTACAAACAGGTTCACTTTTTCTTCCCTCTACTCCATCTAGAGTGACTAGCTATTTCAAGATGGTTGGGGAAAAGGTGAGCAAAGCACAGAGAATAGACTTTGCAGCTTTAACAGCCCTGAGTTTCTTTTGCACCAGCTCTCAACTACCTGGCTCCATCCTCTACCTTTAACAGGATCTGGAACTTCTCAGACTCTTCCACTCTTTAGCTTAGTAACTCAGAAAAAAAAAAAAATGGGAGGGAAGGGAGGAGGCTTGAGTTTTGTTGTTGTTGGGGTTTTTTGTTTGTTTTATTTCATTTTTTTCTGTTTTGGTTTCCTGCTCTGTTAACTCCTGCTGAGTTAAATTAGCTCAGAAAAGAGGTATTCTTAAGATAAGCAGCAGAACTGTGTCTCACCAGTCCAGGATCAAGAAAAGACAAGCAGAAAGAGACAAGGGAACTGACGAGCATAGACACCATCTTTTTTTTTTTTCTTGTGCTGCAATGAACTGTCAGATCAAACCCGACTATCTAAATCATTAGGAAGTTTTACTCCTCACTTAATCAAAATGTCACTAAGCCCACAGAATATTAGAGTCAGCGTCTGGTATGTTCAAAGATGTGTGGCAACCTCTGATTTAGCAGAAAGACTGTTGAAATTTCTTCTTGGCTAAAGTAGGGTAAATAATTTCTAAGAAATTCAATCTTAATAAAACATAGAGGAAATCCATGAAAGATTATGTTTCTCCAAAGCACGGAAAAAGAGAGCACTCTTCTGCTTGGAGGCCGAAAGCATCTGCTGCATGAAGTAGGG